AACAGAGAAAAATCCTCCTTTGACTCTATGTCCCTCCAGCTGTCATCTTCTCTTTCTTCTCAGATGTCATAGCAAGTTGCCTGTGCTTACTTGGCCTACTTCCCCACCTCCAGTCTGCCATTCCTCTGTAACTTCAACCCATCACAATCCCGTACCTGGAATTGCTCTTATTATGCACAGCGGTGACCTCTTTGTGGCTGAAGCCAGTGGACACTTCATAGTTATTATCTTACTTGACTCTCTTGGCAGATTTTTAACACCATTGATCATTCCCTTCTTTAAACCTCTTTTCTTGGATTCCATCATATTTGCTCCCTTTTACATGCCCTCCTCCCTCTGTCTTCTTTGTTGTCTCATCTTCTGTCTGTACTTTAACCGTTGGTGCTCCTCAGTATGATCTCAAAAGCCAGTTTTTCTTCTTACCAACCTAGTTGCCTGGTTGGTGTCAGCCGGTAGCATAGTACCTAAGGCATTAGACTGCTAACCAGAAGGCTGGCAGTTCAAACCCACCAGCCACTCCTCGAAAAGAAAGTTGGGCAATCTACTTCCGTAGTGATACTTGGAAACCCAAGGAGGGGTCGCTGTGAGTCAGATTCCACGTGACAGTGGTATGTTTGGTTTGGTTTTTTGGTTTATACCTTAATGAATCCCAAATCTGTATTTTTTAACTCGGTTCTCTCTTAAACCTTCAGAATATTCCCTATTAGACATATCCTATTGGACGGCCCACAGGCATCTCCAAACTAGGATATCCAAAACTGAACTCATTTCCCCCTGCCTCTAGTCCTGCTTATGCGCCTCTATTTCAGTGAATGGTACTATTCCTTGTTTGCTTGCGTAAAGTACAAATTTCAGTGTTACTTTTAATCCTTCCACCTCATGGAAGAAGAAAAAGAAGCTTTGACAATGAGGTAGAGTGACAACAGGCCTTTGTAACTGGCTCCTACTCCCCCACACCCAGTATTAGCTACCAAGTTGTATTGATGTCTGCCTCCTAAATCTCACTCAAATGCATTCATTTCTCTCCATTACAGCATGTACATGCCACTGTCCTCTCTCCTGGATTACTGTCACATATGAACTGTTCTCCCTGCCTTTGGTCCTGCTCTTCCAACCCAGTCTCTGTACTGTGGCCATAGTGATCTTTCTAAAAATCAAATCTGATCTTATTTCCAAGCATAAATACTTGTGTGCCTACCATTGCCTTCAAGTTTCTCTTGAACATGGCACAGGCCTGGCAGGCTCTGCTTCTTATTACCTCACCTCCAGCCACTCGTCTAGGTCTAGCTATGCTGCATGACTTGAATTCCTCCAGTGCCCACTCTGAGCTTTCATACACATTATTCCATCTGCTTAGACACCCAGTCCCTGTTTGCTAAGCTCATTTCTCTGCATTCCTCAGGTCTTTAAGACAGCACTTTCTCTAGGAATCTTTTCTTGACCTCATAAATCTGGGTTAAGTGAACTTCATACATGTACCCAAAACAATATGTATTTCCTGTCACAGTGTCGTCATGTGGAATTGCCATTGTATATGTCTGTCCACTTCTGGATTGACCTCACCTCTAAGGCAGTGTGCAAGGCCACCTTGTTCAGGAAGTATGTGAGCCTCCTTTACAGGTTGCCACAGAGCTCCTTTTCCTTTTCCAGCATGTGGCTAGAGGTTAAAATGAGAACAGCCACTCTGAAGTGAGGCTTAGAGCTGATGAGATAAACCAGCCACCAGTAAGCTAGGCTCCTTCAAAGTTTAATGCCAACAAAATTGCTTTCTGACACCTGTCTCCCTGTGTCTTTTGCAAGGAGAGCGGCCCGCTTATGCCTGTTTGTTTCCCAGTGTGGGTTGTTGGTGCAGACCTTGGTCTGGAATACAGGATACCCTGATATGTTTTACCTTCTCTCCTTTGTTCCCCCATCCCTTCCGGGTGGCTTGCTTAAGAACAATGAAATGTCAGAAATGGAGAGAGAGTGGAAAAACAGGGGTAATCTGTAATCCACAGTTTAGTGAGTAAGCCTTTGAACATCCCAGGTCATCTGCTTCTGAGCAATACTAAATTGTTTGACCATTTTGGAAAACTCACTCTTGTTCAAAGGTGACATCTTGAAATTTTGACACAGTGAAGGAATACAGGTTAACCTTGCATTTCTTTTCTCTTCTTCTTCTTTTTTTAAACAGAAGATATGTGAGCCATATTTGCATGACCTGTGTCCAAGCAGAATATTATACAGTATCATGGGCAGAGGGTGCAGATGTGTATGTATAATATTCTTTGGAGACGATACCGGGTCTCCAACCCAACCCTCTGCCATCGAGCCTATAGGACAGAGTAGAACTGCTCCGTAGGCTTTCCAAAGCTGTAAATCTTTAGAGAAGGAGACTGCTTTGTCTTTCTCCTGAAAAGCAGCTGGTAGATTCAAACCACCAACCTTCAGGTTAGAAGCTGGTCCTCTGGTATCGTCAGGGACTATGTGTAAACATATGCAAGATCTTAGCTCAGGAATTTTCCTCATCATCCCTGTTGTAATCATGCCGTATTTGTACAGTTGCACAGTATATCACATATGTGAATGATCTATTTGACCAACAGCTTTTCAAGGTAGATGGGGTAGGGATTATCATACTTCTTTTAATTGTTGTTGTTGTTGTTGTTATGTGCCGTTGAATCGGCCCCGACTCATAGCAACCCCTCCTTGGGTTTCCAAGGCAGTATCACTACGGAAGTAGGATTGCCCCACCTTCCTTCTGAGGAGTGGCTGGTGGGTTTGAACCGCCAGCCGTCTGGTTAGCAGGCAAGTGTCTTAGCCACTATGCTACCAGAGCTCCTACTTCTTTTAATAGAGGAGAAAATAGCAGAACAGATATCACCCAGCTAGTAAACAAAGGAGCCGGGACCTGAACTCAGGTTTCACAGTGCTCAGTCTCATGTTATTTCTTTTAGACTATATGGCTTTGTGTTTAAGATTGTATGTATATGAGTGTGTGTGTGGTCTATGTAGTTAGAAAACAAAACAAAACACAGTTACCGTTTTGACCCCATGAGTGTCAGAGCAAAACTATGCTTCATAGGGTTTTCAATGTACCATTTTTCAGAGATTGCCAGGCCTTTCTTCTGAGATGGCCTCTAGGTAGACTCAAACCTTTAAACTTTCAGTTGGTAGCCAAGCACATTAATTGTGTACAACACTCAGGACAATCAGTCAAACCTCTTCTTAAGATCTGAACCAGTTGAGATATAAAGGAGTCAGACATGACTCATAATACTAGTTTTATTGCAGATAAAACTGGATGGAAGAAAGTAGCTTGAACACATCGCTTAAATGGGTTTTCCCCTTAATTGAACTCACACATCACCTGGATCCAGCAGCTAGACAACAACAGAGCCCACAGCAGAATGCACAGAGACAGAATGCATCACTGCAGCTCCCATGCAAGCAACTTAAGGGCAAGACTGAGAGGATTCCAGGCAGCACTTTTGACGGGGCAGGAGTTCCTGTTTTGTGGGTTTTGTAGGAGGGGAGGGGAATTAGTCCACTTTAGGGAAAAGACTGTAACTCCTGAAGTACAAAGACCCCCTATGTCTAACACATCAAGGTGCCCCAGTGTAGATAGCACAGGAGTGAGCATGGAGTTGTGCCCTAAAAATACTCGTTGATCAAGCTAATCTTCACTGCAGCATAGACATAGCAAAGAATAGATATTGTCAGAGATAAACCCAATTTGTGAATGAACAAGGATTTAAAATGGTTGCATATTATCTCTCTTATCCACCTTGCACATATGTGATATACTGTACAACTATACAAACATGGTATAATTACAACAGGGTTTATGAAGAAAATTCCTGAGCTAAGATATTGCATATGTTTACACATAGTCCTTGACAATACCAGAGGACCAGCTGCTAACCTGAAGGTTGGTGGTTTGGATTTACCAGCCGTTTTGCAGGTGAAGACACCCTGGCTGGCAAACAAGCTGTCCCAGCCTTGATTGTGTACTGCAGGAAACTGCCTGACCCAATGACTGGATGGCTTTCCCGCCACCTTTTCTTCTTACAAGGAGGTCTGGTGGCTCAGTGCCTAAGGCATTTGACTGCTAACCAGAAGGTTGGTGGTTCAAATCCACCAACCACTCTGGAAGGAAAACGGGGCAATCTATATCTGTAAAGATTACTGCCTTGGAAACCCAGTGGGGGTCGCTATGAGTTGGAACTGACTTGATGGCAGTGAGTTTGGTTTTGGTTTAGTTTCTTCTTACAGAGGGATGTCAGCCTACTGGCTCCTCCCTTTCCCTGCTCAGAGCTCACTTCTCAGATACTTTCTTTTGTACACATTCAGATAAATCCTCTTTAAGCCTCCTTTCTTCTCTTTCTTTTTCCCATCTCTTTGGTCTGCTACTGAAAGAATTTTTTCGTCTCCTTTCCCATTCTGCTTTTTGACTGTCTCCCAGTCACTGTCCTTCTCTCTCAGATTTCTCTTTCTTCAGCTGGTTGATAAGGAGAATAGTGCTGATGATAGTCTTCCTGCATTGAGAAGTTAAAATTACAGTTAATATAGTGAGTTCTTAAAAGTCTCGAAAGTGCCTAGAAGACTCATGTGGAAAGTCTACATATATTTTCTTTTCTATCTTTTAATTTCTTGTCAAAGCAGCAGCATTAAGAATAAATGTGCTTTCTCTATTCAATTTTATTTTTCTTTAAATGGTATAATATGCTACATTTTTCATTACAAACACAATTTTAATAGTGTATGTCATAAAGAGGCTTTATGAGTCAACTTATGAATCCACCTACCATTTGTCATTTTTGTGGGAAGATTTGCACTGGTTCCAGTTTTAGAATAGCCTATTGGACATAGCCTTTGTGCTCAAACCTCCTTAGTCTCATATATACAGGGTGAGTTTGTATCCTCTTCCTTTGTCCAGTTCCAAACCAAACTGTGGGGCTGTAGGGGATTTCTTTTGCTTCGTACATATAACTTAGAAAACTGATGTGCTTATCCCACAGGAAAAGCTTTTGACATCACCTATGTGCGCCTCAAGTTCTACACCAGCCGCCCGGAGAGCTTCGCCATTTACAAGCGTACACGGGAAGACGGGCCTTGGATTCCTTACCAGTACTACAGTGGTTCCTGCGAGAACACCTACTTGAAGGCAAACCGTGGCTTCATCAGGACAGGAGGGGATGAGCAGCAGGCCTTGTGCACAGATGAATTCAGTGACATTTCTCCTCTCACTGGGGGCAACGTAGCTTTTTCAACCTTAGAAGGAAGGCCCAGCGCCTACAACTTTGACAATAGCCCTGTGTTGCAGGTAGGCCTTCAGAGGTTGGCATTGGAACCAGTTAATCCTACCCCGCACTGGCTGCAGGAAGATTATTGTAGGAGGGGCCTGTGGTTCTACTGCTGAGGTAAGGGATAGGAGTAGAAACTACTACTGGAGAAAGGAAACTACCCACCCACCCCCAAGAAAAAAACAGATCGATTGTTGTTCCCTTGATTCTAACTCTCAGCAACCCCATGTGTATCATAGTAGAACTGTGTTCCATAGAGCTTTCAATGGGCTGTTTTTTCAGAAGTAGCTGACCAGGCCTTTCTTCCAAGGTGTCTCATGCTAAAGTCTAACCTGCAATCTTCCAATCAGCTGCTGAGTGAGTTGACAGTTTGTACCACCCAGGAACTTGTGAGGAAAGACCAAACCCACTGATGCTGAATCGATTTCCACTCATAGCAACCCTATAGGGCAGAGTAGAACTGCACTATAGAGTTTCCAAGGCTGTAAATCTTTACAAAAGTTGACTGCCTCATCTTTCTCCCATGGAGTGGCTGGTGGATTTGAACCACTGACCTTTTAGTTAGCAGCCAAATGCTTTAACCACTGTGCTACCAGAGCTTCCTGAAGGAAGATAACTATATTTTATTCTCCTCTCTTGTGTACTGTTAATGAGTGAAGGAAAGTAGTTTTTTCCTTCTGCCCAGTTGATTTTTGTTCTTATTATTTATGCACTTGCAGATGCAAATGTATAAACGTAACACTTAAAAAAAAAAAAAAAAAGATTGTACAACTTGAAATTTAGTCTCTGTACTTGAAGTAGAAACATTTTGCTTATGACCTTTTGACAAGGTCATTTGAACTAATCTACCCAATTTTCATGTATGCTTTCATATTCTTACCTGACAAAATAAATGTGTTTTATTTTGTTTTTTAATATTAGCAAGGGGGAACAGTTGAAGCAACATTTTCAAGAATGTCACTTTCCTTCATTTTTATGTGAGAAAATTTTGATTGGATTTTTCTGGCACTGTTACCAATCATTATGAATATTTCTAAATCACCTAAAACTATGGATGTTTGGACATAAAGTAAATATAGGTACTGATGGTACTGTGCTTAAGTACTGTGATATAAATGTTTCCCTATCAAACAGCAGAATTAATGATGTCTGTGTTTTCATGGATTCTGTGTGCATCTTCCAATTTATACACCACAGTGTGGAATCTTTCTTTACTTCTTAGACTTCTGTGAACTTTTTTTATGTTCTGGTTGTTTAATTATGGGAAGACTGATGCCCCTCGTGCCATATTCTTAACACCAATACAGAAATGGAAACTGCTGTCACTTGGCCTGAAGTTAACTAAATGGGGGTAGCCTGTATTGAGGAAAAAAGACTGGCTATGGTTTTGCAAATGCTGTGTATATTTTATAAAAAAGCTGTTGTGGTTTTTTAAATAGGAAATCTCCCTTTTTTTTTCTGGGCTTTTTTGTGCTTTCTCTCTGGACTTTATGATATTCAAGGATTCTTTTTCTAATTTTGTATGGTTTTGGACAGTGGCACAAGATGAGACTATATTTCTCATGGGTCTGGTCCCCTTCCATTGTTATTTGCTGGGAGGTAGAGGTGAAATCATAAATGAGAAAGCAGTTGGCAGTGTGTATCTTTGAAGAGACCTTTCAGAAAAGTGTTTCTTATAATGAGGGTGTGTTCAAAATAAATGGCAGAAAGAATAGCTGATTTTGATGAAAAAGCAGAAGACTGAATGCTCAGGAAGAGGTGATCTATAAATATCCTTTAAGTTGGTCAACAAGCAAATATTCTCCAGCTTTGTTTCTTCCTATAGCAAATTACTATATTCTTCTGCCCTGCGGAGGCTACAGTGTAGTCAGGAATAGGAGATGACATGTAGTTAAGACTGTGGTTTTCTGGCACCTTTGCTGACTGTGTGACTTGTCAGCCTGTCTTGAAAAGTTTTCCCAGCTGTAGCAATTCAGATATTTGATGCTCTTTATGCCAGAGAAACTCATGAGACTTACAGGTGGTAAACATGCTGTGGCATCTACACAGATTAGGACAGGTAGTATCATTATGCAAAATCACTAATCACGTGCCTCTGAGGATCAAAGCTGTGGCTCCAAGATCCAGTTGCCTGGGTGGTTTGTCGTTGTTATGTGCCGTTGAGTCAGACCCAACTCATAGCAACCCCTCCTTGAGTTTCCGAGACAATATCACTACAGAAGTAGGTTGCCCAACCTTCCTTCTGAGGAGTAGCTAGTGAGTTTGAACCGCCAGCCTTCTGGTTAGCAGTCAAGTGGCTTATGCACTATGCTACCAGAGCTCCTCTAGGTGGTTTAGGGGGTTTGATTTGTAGTCAGGTGGCCTCTTCAGGCGTTGTACCCTGTTCCTCCCTCCAGAAGTCACCATCTCTCAGATGGCTAGAGGAGACCCCTCTGGTTTCACTGTACATGAATATTACTATGATGATTTATAATAATTATTACCATCTGTTATAGCACTTACTATAAAGTGCTAATTAAGGCACCCCAGTGGCACAGAGATTAAAGTGCTCAGCCACTAACCGAAAGGTCCAGAGTTTGAGCCCACTGCCCGCTCCATAGGGGAAAGATGTGGTAGTCTGCTCCCATAAAGATTATAGCCTTGGAAACCCTATGGGGCACTTGTACTCTATCCTGTAGGGTCACTATGAGTCAGAATTGACTCCACAGCTGTGGGTTATAATGTGACCTGCATTATTCTAAGCTCTTTAGATACACAAACTCATTTAATCCTCACATAAGATAGATACATTTATTATCCCCAGTTGACAGATGAAAAATAGAGGCCCCAAGAAAATAAAATAATGTGCCCCTGGTCACAGTTGTAAGTGGCAGAGCTGGGATTGACAGGCTAGAAAGTCTAGCTCTAGAGATGGCTCTTTTTAAAGTGCCCATTAAATGAAAAATGGTTTAGATTCATCACTTGAGGAGCTTTTATTCAAGAAAAGCTGTGATAAAGATGAAGCCTGGAGAGAAGATAAAATGAGCATTAAACAGAGATATGTTTAGCTATTAACATTACAGACGAGTAAAAGATTCCTAGCATTATAGCCATGAGTGGGAGTTGTTATTGAAGATCCAAGTTTAGATACGGTGAAATCATCATCTCTTCTCCTTTCTAATTATACTTGAAGGCTTCGGGGAGTTATCTTTTATGAGTGCTCTATATGCTGGAAAGGAGAAGCTGTGTTGTTCTGTAGACCAGGTATTTGGCATGTCTGTAGGCAGTGGTTCTTAATCAGGGCTATGTATCCCAGTCTCATGTGGGGCCGTCTGGAAATAAAGATGCCAGTGCCTGTGTCCTTACTTATTAGGTCTCTATAAGTGAGTCTGATACATAGTCAACAGAAGACTGAAAGTGGAAATGGTATCTTCGGGTAGTTATATCTATTGCTCTGTAACACACCACCCCAAAACGTAATGGTTTAAAAGAAATATGTTTATTATTTCTCTTGATTCTATGTTAGCCTGGGAGCACTCAGCTGGCATGTCAGCTAGGATGGCTGGGCTTTTCTCTCCCTGTGGTCTTCCACTCGCAAGGAGGCTGTACCAGGCTTCCAGTCTACTTGTGCCATAGATGATGATGTCCCCTTAACTGAAGTCACATGACCAAGCATAGCGTCAGCAAGGAAGGGGACAACACGGGGTGTGCCCTTTGGCAGACATGATTCATTGGGGGGGGCAGAAAGGTGGTCATGACTGGAACAGTCTACCACACACATTAACTGTTGTGGTTTTTCTTTAAATTCATTCATGCATTCCGTTAGCAAATGTTATTTAAATACCTGCTTTATGCAGCAGTAGGGATATTGAATAAAACATACTAAATATGTATGTTGGAAGCTCTGGTAGTGTAGTGCCTAAGGCACTTGACTGCTAACCAGAAGGCTGGCAGTTCAAACCCACCAGCCGCTCCTCAGAAGGAAGGTTGGGCAATCTACTTCCGTAGTGATATGGCCTCAGAAACCCAAGGAGGGGTCACTATGAGTTGGGTCCAACTCAGCGGCACATAACAACAACAAATATGTATGCATACTGAATAAAACATAAAAATATCTGCCCTCATGGATCTTACATTCTGGTGGTGGGAGGGTAGAAATAGACAATTTAAATGAGATAAATAAGTAAAACGGGGAGAAAAAAAGGTAAGAAAACCAGACCAGTGACCAGTTGCCATCGAGTGGATTCCTAGTCATGCATGGCAGCCCCATGTGTGTCAGAGTAGAACTGCTCCATACAATTTTCAATGCTGTGACCTTTGTGCTAAGACACCACTGGATAGATTTGAACCACCAACCTTTTCGTTAATAGCCAAGCATTCAACCATTTGTGCCACCAGGGAACTTCTAAACAAGTAAAACAGGGTGTTGAGGAGGGGTAGCCAAGAAAAGTGACATTAAGGGGAAGGATTTGTTCCTTTGCTCTTGTGTATCATCCCCCCCCCCCCCAGAAGATCCATCAGCAGTGGACTGGATCTGAGGGATGCTACAGAACAAGCAGGGGAGGTGATGACTAGCATATGGGACAAGCGTGGTACTACTTGGGCTATGAACTATCCTCTTTGACTGAATTTGGGGTGTGGATACAGGGGAGAGAAAAAGGACAGGTGTATTGAGTATCTGTTATTTGCTAGACCTTTTTAAAGATACATTTCTTTTTAACCTTTCAACAACCTTGTGAAGAAATTAGTAATCTTGATTTTCAGGACTCTGAGCAGTAAAGTAACATAGACTAGGTTATACAAGTCTATAAGGAGGAAAGTATTACGAAGTTAAAGAAGTCATTGAGTTGTTATAATAGACTTATTGTCAGAAGTGGACTTTAGTTCTTTAGAAAATTTTGTCATATTGACTTATTGTCAGAAGTGGACTTTAGTTCTTTAGAAAATTTTGTCATATTTATGTCTCATCTTCAATCTCTGTCTACCTCTCGTTTATGTTTTTGATTTGTTATTCTCTGACAGGAATGGGTAACTGCCACTGACATCAGAGTCACTCTCAATCGCCTCAACACTTTTGGAGATGAAGTGTTTAATGATCCCAAAGTTCTCAAGTCCTATTACTATGCAATATCTGATTTTGCTGTGGGTGGCAGGTGAGTAGCAATTAAATCAACCTTAAAAGCAATTAGTTGGAACTTTGATTTATAAGGGAATGTGGCAGCTTATTTGCAACTATGTTAATATTGGTTGGGAGCCCTGGTGGCATAGTGCCTAAAGGCATTTGACTGCTAACCAGAAGGCTGGTGGTTCAAACCCACCAGCCACTCTCGGAAGGAAGGTTGGGCAATCTACTTCTGTAGTGATACCACCGTGGAAACCCAAGGAGGGGTCACTATGAGTTGGATCCAACTCGACGGCAGTGAGTTTGGTTTTGGTTTAATATTGTGTAGACATTTTCTGTACCAATAGGAGAGGTGGCAGTTCTTAGTGTGAGATACTACTTATCTGCAAAAGAGGCAACAACTTGAGGATCTTTTTTGGTAGACTTCTTATTATCCTGTAATTAAACAATTAGATTTCCCAAACCCTGTATCAGATCAGCATACTTACCTGAATTCTTATTGACCATTTAAATGCAAAGTATGCATAGGCACTATGAAGCTACTGAGGCAGTGTAAAGCTGACCTACTGAGAAGGCCTTGCCCTTCTAATCAACTGCTTTTGAGTCCATTCCAACCCCATGTGTGTCAGAGTAGAACTGTGCCCTGTAGGGTTTTTGGTGGCTGACTTTTACAGAAACAGATGGCCAGAGGTTTCTTCCAAGGTGCCTGTGGGTAGATTCAAACCTCCAGTCTTGGTGTTAGCAGCCAAGCCCATTAACCATTTGCTCTACCCAGGGACTCCCCCAACTTTTGAAGAGTTTGCAAAATGAATGGTGCAAGTGATGTATGAATACATGAAAACTTAAATACTAATGCAGTACAGGTGTTTAAATTAAAAGACCAAGCAGCAGAAAGAAGATGGTATATATTAGAGAATGACACAGAACCCTCTGTCTAGAGAAGCAGGTAGAATCTGAGCTAGATCTTGAAGAATGGCTGGGACTTGGGTAGGAGGGAAGACATCTGCACTGGTGGCAAGATGGGCATCTCTAAACACAAAATTTTAAAGATGGGAGAGGACAAATCCACTTGACTAAAAATCTCTTAGTTTGGTGGCCAGAGACCTCAGACAGAAGGGTAAAAATCTCAGGCTTTATCTTCCCCTGTGCTAGACGACAAAGACTCAAGAGCAGCAAAGGTGCTTCTGTACTCACTTTTCTTACATATGGGGTTGATAAATGTTCAGTGAAAGCTGAGTGAACTATGATCAGTGAGAAATCAGGCAAGGTTTTTGGTGTAGGTTAAATGTAATGGCCATGCAAACGAGTGTGGGAAGACAGAATTGACAAGCTTTTGTGTAATGGCAAATCTACTACCTGTGGAACAGACCGTGAGAAGTCCCTTCCCCTCATCAACAACCCGTTGAGAGCACCATCAGTATCTTAAATTGTCTTGAAATCAAAAACTATATTAGGATGATGACTATGAGGGCCATAAGTAGTGCACAATGGAGAAACTTAATATTCCTCTTATAATGTTGTGTAGTCTAGGCATTAGCCAGCAAATACCGGACCTTAGAGGGGTGGCAGTAGAACAATATAGAAAGGAAAGGAGCATATAGATGTACTTTCTTATGTGTGTGTGGGGGGGGTGCGGTTATCAGGACTTGAGTCAAAGATGATTTTAAGGTTCAGTAATCAGGAGAATGGTGGTACCATTAATAAAGTGAATTAGTCAAGTTAATGTGGGGAGAGATGATAAGTTTAGTTTTAGATGTGTAAAAGTTTAAGTGATGTGAGACAGCTAGGTTTGTCTAGCAGGAGCTTGGAGAAAAGTCCAGAGCTGGAGATCCAAATTTGAGACTCATCCCATCACACTGTACATGTTTTAGAAATGTTAAAGTGTATTACTAAATGATTGTTAAAGCTGTGGAACTGGTTTTTATCTTTAAGGAAGTGTGTGAGGGAAATGTCACTGAGACACAGTGCACGTTGATTCTCAGGGGTATTCCATGAGTCCTGGTTCATGATTGTACCTATACCTGTAAGATCCTTCAGGGAATCTTGCCCTCCAGAAACATGAAGCAATAGCAGTCTGGCTACCAGAGATCCAAATGGTGGTGAGGTATCTGATCTATATAGCCACCTTTAGATTAGAGTACTTTAAAATCATAATGGCAGGTAAGTACGTGAAAGAAATAACTCCTTGATCCTTCCAACCCTATAAAATTGGCATTATTGTCATCTCTTTGTTACGTGTGAGGCACAGAGGAATTATGTTAAATGGGTAAGTGACAGGACAGGGTCTTAAACCCGGCAGCCTAGCTTCAGGGTCTGGGTTCTTCTTAACCACTACACACTGCAGCCTGTTGTCACACACATTTGACTTCAGAAGTGATTCTACAGTCATTACCAGAAATTATTAGGGACTTTATTCTCATATCTAGCTAATGCCCCATTTCCTGTTAAATAAAGCTCCTTTGCGGATAGATGGGTGAACAAGCTAAACAATTATGTATGTCTAAATGGGGAGTGTATCCAAGATCATTACAGGGTTGGCAGAATATGGGCCTCTCGAAGAGCATGAAGGGATGGACACTGGGAGGAGGTAACTATGGGGAGGAAGTGGGAGGGGATCTGCTGCATTGTAAATTTTGGTCAATGACATGAGACAAAGTAT